AATTTGTAACCTTCTCCATTTCCTTCTTCAATCCATTTAACATGCTTTTATCCAACCATCATCATTAGATGTACAATTTACAAAATGCTTTTTACAGACGAACCTATGAACTCCAGTTCATCAGCCTATTGGATTAACCAAAAAATTATAGATTAAATATAGACATCGGATTTATGGCACATTATAACATGCCTAACATATGACACCTCAGGTAACCTCTCTACTATTTACCAGCTATATTCTATTACCATGTCTACATTCCTCTTCCCCTCCCCACCAATCTGTCTCCCACCCATTGACTGCCTCAATCTGCTTTTTCACTGTCTGTCTCTCACATGCCTATTGGCCTCTGGCTCCTTTTCTATTCTGTCCAGGAAGAGCACAGACCAACTGCAGCCTAACAAAAGGTATTTGTACCCACAAGCTTGCAAAGAAGAATTTTTCCAATTATTTTAGTTGGTCTAATAAAAGATATCAGATTTCCCCAGGGAACCTTGTCTGCCTGTGTCCTTGGACCAACATGGCTACAATCTATACCTCTAAAAATGTTGATATTTTTCTACATGTTTTCATACACACTTTGTTCCTTAAATAACTTTTCTGAACATTTCCTAAAAGGAATGGCTTCAGTGTGATGTGGAACAAGTTATTTGAGCATTATATGGTGTGTCTACACATTGGAGATGTTTCTTCTATGCAGAGTAGGTTTATTTAATTGCCAGTTGTTCAGGTAACCCACCTACAGAAACAAAACAATAGCTCTCATAAGGATGTCTCAGCAACCACCCAGGGTACATCTGGGACACCTGATATGGGAGGGCAAGAGGGACAGCCATGGGACTCTTCAGCCTGGAAAAGTAGTCAGGGTGACCTGGTGGCAGCTTGTAAGTACATCAGGGGTGTGCATCAGGATCTGGGAGAACACCTGTTCACCAGAGTGCCCCAAAGGATGACAAGGTCCAAAGGTCATAAACTCCTCCAAGACCATTTTTGGCTGGACATAAGGAAAAACTTCTTTACTGTTTGAGTTCCCAAGGCCTGGAATAGACTCCCTCCACCTACTCTGGACTCTTAAGAAACATTTGAATGCTTATCTTGCTGGGATCCTTGGACCCCAGCTGACTTCATGCCCTTGGGGCAGGGGGCTGGACTCTATGATCTCCCGAGGTCCCTTCCAGCCCTAATGTCTATGACCTTGGTATCTGAAAATACTTTATTTTAACCATTTACATGTATACTGCTGCCTTCTCCCAACTTCCAGCTGCCCCATTTAGATGATAAACTTTGGGGAATGGTGGCTTCATTACTTTCTGAAAATCAGTTCCCTTTCAAGTAGTCAAAGTCATTTATCAGACTTCTGAAAATCTTGGACTTGGCTTCAGTGGGATCAAAAGGGGACTCTTTAGGAGAGGAGGCAAGAGTGAAGATTTCTGGCTCTCCTGGCACCTTTGTACACCTTTTTCATCATCAGACACAAAATAAGTACCAGTGCTTTCTACATTTCTAAAAACTGAGTTATTTTTTAAAATAATTTGCAGATTTCCTTTAGTGATGAGTTACCCAGGTCCCAAAAATGTGAAGAATATATTTAGTTCCCAAAGAAGCCTCCTTTCCAAGTCACTATGCTAACTGAACTTTACGTTACAGACTGAGTAGGTGTCAAGTGTCTTAATGTCTTGTCTTATACAAACATTTGGATTTTTGTATATCATTTTAATTGTGTTATTTTAATTAAAAACCACATATAAAATAATACAGAAAAAATACATAAAAAACTGCACATAAGCAATACCTTTTTCCACAAACACTATAAAAATATACATCTGATCTTATACATAATGTGATCAGTTTATTCGGCCCAAACTTTGAAAAAAGCTTGGGAACGTATACCTAACAAGACAGTGAAAATTCATACTTGGAAATGGATGGTGAGAAAATCCAAGCTAAGCTGAAAGACTTAATTGCAAAATCTATGGAAGCAGGAAATACAATGCTGTTATGCATCCAGATATTTTCTTTCAAAAGAAACCCAGATGTTGAAAGTGCAGGTTGGGGCAAGGAAGAACACTTGTCATTCATCAGGGAAATGATTGTTGGAGAATTGCCATTGACTGAATATGAACATACCAGCCTTTGTAGGCATTGACTTAACATTTTACATGGTTTACAACACCGTGATGGCATGTTTCGATGCCAAGAGCAAGACACATTTCCTGTTTTTTCAGTTAAATTAAAAATTATTACAAGAAGATTTAAGAATATCTTTGAAAATGAGTCAACTCTAGAGAACTTCTAATTATTCACAAAAAAACCCTCATTTGGTTCAGATAAAGAATAAGAAAACAAAAATCTCATTTCTATGAAGTTCTGAATCCAATGTAGGTGACAGCTGATATTCATTTATTCAAAGGACAGGAGAGGTAAGATCTGGTGGTGAACAGTAGTATAATCAGAGAGAAGCACTGGCAAGAGTAGAACACTGCACCCCACCCCTGAAAAGAATGGTACAGTCATTGTTATTGTGCTCTTTTCCCAAGTATGCACTTACTTATTTCATGTTACAGCAAGACTTCTTAGTTTTAACCAAGTATTTCACTCTTGTGACTCAACATTTAATGTGAGTGCAACTTTGAAACATTTGCAGAAAATGGGAAAGAAGCCACAGATGGATCCTAGATTCTCTCACATACTACACCCGTCCATCCCCCTCCCTCCCCCCCATGCATCTTTTTTTTTGGCGGGGGGGCAAAATGGAGAGAAAAAGATTTTTCCAGAGCAGGGACAGAGACTAAACTTCAGCTCATTTACCCTCCCTTTTCTGCACTGGCAAAAGCTATAGCTTCAACCCTTTCACAGCTGAACTGTCAGACAGTCAACTGTTCAGCCAAAAGCTGAAACTAGCTTCTGAAAACTGAACTCCATTGACAGGATTTTGAAGAGAGCTAAAAACAGTCTGCAAAGCTGTGAAATAGGAGAAGAGAGACCCAGAGTAGCTAAGAGACAAAAAAAAATGCTGAAGAAAGGGTAGTTTGATAAGTGGAACTTCAAAACTATTAAACAGGAAGGGGGGTCATTAACAGCTGTGGATTGAAGACTGATTAGGAAGAATCAGGTACATTGTAATGAACAATGAAGTTAACTGACTTCCTCGGTGTCACCAGACTAGAAATGCTAACTGCTGCTGCTAGGCAGCTGGCTTTAAACTTTAAGAGGAACAGAAATCCAGGGGGTGTGTGACCACACTAATGCTGGACCTGCACCTGTTGGACTCCAGCCTTCCCTGTCTACTGGAGAGACAAGAAGGTAAAGAAACAGCAGCCATCTTACAGCATCTGATCTGGGCAGAAAAATCAGCTTCCCCACTTCAGACTCACACCCCAATTTTGGAATGCTAATATTTGGGAAAAGGGTTTGTGTGGTATGTGACTAAATACAGTGTAAAGGCCAACATCCCCGATATTTCACTATTGCTTTCTCAAAATTACAGTTTAAGATAAAGATATCTTGCATCTTAGTAGTTAGAAGTCAAAGAAACCTCAAAGGATAAAAAGGTGTATAGTTTTCAGGCAAGGATTCCCAATTTCTAAAAAATAATAAAACTGTCTCCTGTGGAAGAAGAGAAGTCACAAGCAATTTCTATAATAGTTTAGCCATGCTGTGCTTTAGTTTACATCTTATCCTTTCAAGCTTTATAAAGTGAATTCCCCATTAAATTGCTTAGAGGATCATATTTTACCTTTTATTAGAAGGTAATAGCTTTTTGGGGAGGTGGGGGAGAGGTGTGTTCAGTAGGGAGGAAATTGCTTTAACGGCCACAATTCTATTATGCCCAAATAGGAGACATGATATCCATTTCCTGAGAGCCTAGACCAAAGTAAGCCACCTGCTAAGGACGCAAATAATAAGCAGCAGGAAGGAAGAGATAGTTGCAGATGTCACATTTAGGATTGTTGTTTGTTACCTTCTTGGAGATCCATCATCATGCGGCTGAATAATCACCACCTTTACTGTCACCGATGTGCGTAAAAGGTCAATCATCTGTTCGTGAGTCAAGGTTGCCACCGCCACTTTGCAGATCTCAACTAGACGGCTCCCTTGCCTTAAGCCAGCTTTCCATGCAAAACCAAATGGCTCCACATCTGCTACTATCCCTTCGAAGTTAACATGGAATCCAAGCTGGCCCAACCCATTCCTCCGCAGGGTCATTTCCGTTGTTTCACATCCTCTGGTCACTATCTAAAGGAGCATCAGATTGTTATGCTATTGTCTCTGTAGACTCATTTACTTGGAAACACAAAAGAATCAGTTTTCAGGTAATATAAAGCTTTGTATGGTATGACAATAGCATAGTCATTTATGTTGGACTAGAGGCTTGTGTGTAGAGCATAATACATGAAGCTCTTTAGGGCTTTAAATTTGACTTCCCTGGAGAAACCAGCTGTCCTGTGTCAAATTTCTAACTTTTCTACAACATGAGGATGTTTATATTTCATTGAATACTTAGCAGTTGCCCTAGCTTCAAAACACAAGGCAAGCAAAACGCAAACCTGCCATTTACTTTGTCCATCATTGGCTGATTGACTGCAGGTGTGTGGATGGTTTTTTTTCCAAGACAATATTAACCTTGAGATTTAAGATAAGACAAACCAAATGAAACATTTCAATTCTAGAAGGTTAATCTCCCTTTCTGTCTTAGCCAAGATCTTATGTGTTTCTCTGGGTACACAATCAGATTCTGAACCAGACAGACACACAACATCTTCAGATATAGGTATCATTACAAATAGGTTAAAACTGTTTGGGCGCATCCGCACAAGCATGCATGTGTGGTTTGTGGTGTTGCAAACCAATCTGTGGCATTGCACACTGCACACACCACACACGTAAGCATTTGCTGTGCTTCTAATTTGAAGCATGACGGGTTTTTTTGACACTGTGAAAAAAACCTGCACCAGAAAAAAACAGGGCAAAGCACATGGTGGCAGCGTGTGCCACCCAAAACCGAAGCCTGCCCAGCCAGAGCCACCAATCAGGCTCTACTTGCCCAGACTGCTACTGCTGGAGCCCCAACCCAACCTGGGGCAACTTGCTACACACCAGAGTGTGCGTGCTAGTTGCCTCCAGGGAATACACATCCCTGCTCATGGGGATGTGCCCTTTATGTCACTAGGAATTTTAGTAATGGAGAATTAAGATCCTTCATACTTAATTGGAAGGTAGTCTGGCATTATATGGAATAATCAAATACTTCCAATTTTAGCTTTTGCTAATGAGATTTTTTTTACTTCCCTCTTACTATGTAAAAATCCTCAATTGTTTTGCAGCTGATAAAGCAAATCTAGAGGCAGTACAGGAATTTGTGCAATGCTACTGCACTAACCTTTTATCTTTGGAGACCAAAGTAGAAATGCAAGTTTAAGTTACGATGCAAGTTAAAACGAGTTTGCTGGCCAATTCTTTGTTCTTTTGCCCAGATCACAAAATGGTTTTGCTTAATTGGACCACTGTGAAATATTACATTTCAGGTTTGTCTATTCCACATCCGAGAGCTGTCCACCCAAGAACCAGGAATAGAAGGCAATAATCTACTTCATAGCCCCTAATTCTAACCATTAAATGGCTGACTGGAAAGGTTTTGCTTTGCACAACTTATGCATGGCCCGTGACAAGCTCAAAGACACTGCTCGTGGGCCCAGTTAAGTGCTTAATAGGCTTATAAGGATGGGAGAAAAAAAAATGTGTTTTTTAATTGTGCAGCTTTTCCATAGTTAATATTCATTATTTCAAATCATATAATAAAGCTGGTATTTAAGATTGAAGCTGTCCTTAATATTCTACAGAGCTAAGTCCATACAAATCTTAGTTCATCTCTCAGCAAGCTAACTTGCTTGATGTGATATGAATAGTGCAAGACACCTTGAGAAGTCGTACTGGAACAGGTAATCAGAGCAAGAGCAAGTATTGAGAGACCCAAAGAAAAAGAGGCAAATTTTATATGGTTGTGTTAGGCACTCTTATTACCTGAAAGTAGGGACAGACATTGAGTATTTCTTATCAAATAAAATTTGTAAGCAGATTTCTCAGGTCACCTAACATATGCAGTAAATATCACTAGAGTATTAGTTAGCTTTAATTTACCCTGTTACAATAAAAACCTGGTTAAATTTCCCACACAGATGCTAAAATTATAAATTTTTAAGCCATGAGTCACTAATTAATTATAACTTTTCTCAGAAAATGGGTTAGGTAGAATCTCATAACAACTATCAGAATTCATTTCACTGTCAACATTTTGTTGGAAAACTTACATTTACATAACTTAAGCCCATAAATGCTTTTTGTATCTATAACAACAGGAGGGGAGATGACAGGAACAAGATGTTAAATCAAAAGAAATTATATGAAGAATGATATTGAATGGGAAATTATCCATAAAAATATTTAAATGGTATAGATGGTTTAAATACTCAAACCTAAGTTTTCAAAAGCGCCTAGCAAGATATTTTACAAAAAATCATTTCTCAGAGGGACCCAGCTCAGCTATTTCAAACTGCTTTAAAAGATGTCTTAAGTTGGGCTTCCTGGAATGACTAATCAGTTTTGAAAATTGAGGTGCTAAGGTACCGAACATTAGCCTGGCAGTTTGTGCTTTGATGCCTTTTTTTTTTTTTTTTTTTTTTTTAAAAC